GCGCCGTCCGCCAGATTCTGGACTTCGCTTCTAGAAACTTTTTGCCGCTACGCGCTGCTCGGATTCCCGGTAAGATCTCGCTGCTAGTCGCGGCGCGCCAGTACGAATTAGCCAGGCGTTCCACCGCGCGATTTCGGGATCGAATTAAACCCCCGAAGCGAGAAAAGGCAGCCTCGGAGGGTGGAGGTTGAAGGAAAAAGGAGAGAATTACTCCTATTCCCGGAGCGATCTAACGATGCTACGAGGTACCCTGTCATAGCCGGTCAAATTGATTCCGGACAGACTGTAACTCGAACCTCCCTATTACCTATTACCGACGTACGTCAGCGCTTCTACCCGATACGAGCATCCACAATTTCCATCCGAACGCATCTGGAGCCCCGCAACCGTTCTTCTTGCCTCTCGAACGGCCGATCGTTAAAACACGAGGATGGCCGTAAATCGCGGGTCGTTACATTTCGGAAGCGGCGTTACGACGATGGAAAGATCCAATTATCGAACGCGGCTGTGTAGCCGGTTCCCCCCATGGCGAACCGTCAATCTCTCGGCGTAATACGAGCGACGTAACGAGCGGGCGAGGACGAAAGGAATAACGCTCGTGGAAGCTTGGCGGACGGAGCCGGGAACGAGCGAGTCGATGTTGCCGGTCGGACGCGGACGTCGACCGCCGATACGACCGCAACGACGTCGAGGAGGATAGCGCCGACGACAATAGCCCCCCCGTGTGCTCGATGAGGCAACGGTGACAGCGATGGCGCGGCTGACGCCGACAGTGCCGGCAACGACAATGGCGATGACGGTCATCACCGCGGCGCCATCTCCTATGAATGGTCGGCTGCCGATCGGCCAAATTGATTTTCCCGCTCGATAGACGAAGGACGGCCTTCGATCGAATTACGCCGGACTCGCCACCGATTCGTCCGTTTTCTTGCCGCCGCGACTCCCTGCGACACCCCCTGCGACCCCCTGCCACGCGGGATCGCGCGCGTCGTTAGCCTTACGCTCAAGCATGGTTATCGAGGACGACCCTGGGGAATATACGGCCAGAGTGTTTCATAGAGAGGACATCGGAGACCCCGGGACCGCCTGGGTCAAATGAAGCGATTTAGGAGAGGATTTCTTTTTTCCTACACG